TAGTGTGAGGATCCAAAGCATTAAAGACCCCAAACCCTAACGGAAACAAACCCAAGAACTTCGGAAGAAGCACTGATTATCTGTATCGTCCTAGTTCTTTAGAATTATTCGAAAATATACACCATAACATTACAGGAAATATGACCACAGAATCTTGATTGTTACACTTGATGCCAGTGACTGGTCTCGATTATCTTCGAATCAATATCGGTGTTAATATGTTCTGACCAGTCAATACTGTTTTGATATTATGAATCAAGTTATCGGTAAAAAAGAATAAATTTTCTTGTTAAGTTACTTCGCCCCATGAGATTGAACTGTAAGATAGGAAAGCTGTCGTACTGATCTAGTCACAGTATCGATTAAGTCACCAAGACTGTTTATCTACTAGCAATGACACGTTACATGTGAGATAACAGTAGAGCTAAGTGACTATCAGCCAGAATAGTGTCCTACGCTCTCCCGTTTATTAACCCGATATTCAGGATAGAGGTCAATTCAGCAAAAAGATAACTTCTAACTATCCAGTATGAATTTATGAATCACTCATAGGGTGATATATAGCAGAGTCCTGACAACACATCAACAGAACTAAGGAATTAAAACATGGACATAACTACGACAAAAATGGGAGAGGACTGGATGATAGACGTGTAACAATAATTCGGTAAAGGTAGAACACACAACAATTATTTCTATGTTAAACAAAAACTTTCAAGTAGGAGGATACTAGACTATAATCGTTTAAATATATAATAATTATTTGACAAAAATATAGACAATATTTCCGGATGGGATCGTCCGAAAATTTCGCTTTTTCGGTATGCCTATTTTGACACAGAAGTAACATCTTAGTGGACCCGAACCTAAATATTAATCATGTAGACTTTCTCTTTAATACCTTGTCCTCGTTACTTTTCTTTTCTAAAGATTCTTTATCACTAATTACGTGTTTACAACCTGTTTACTTTGTGTGTTACCGGTAGTGTAAGAGTTTACTAATAATACTCATCAGTAGAACTGTGTTATCACCTTTTGACTCGATTCTTGATAATATTGATGACGACAAGTGAAATACTGACCCTATCAACTTGGTGTACATAGTACTTCGGCTGGCCTCATTTATAAAATGGTGGTACTTAAAACCCAAACACGGAATGCGTCTGTAAAGTCATACTTCAATACGTTTTATATCACTGTTTACATGGAACTATACGTTTATCATGATATATAGAAATATAGATATGCATGCAGAAAATGTACCTAGATGAAAGGTGATAATCAATCATATATAGTTGTATACAGCATGACCAATATTGTTACAGTGAGCCGGGCAACAGTCACATACATATTTTATGTTCGTTCACACAAGGACTTGTATAAATCTGAGATGCCACTCGTGGTAGGATCGTAAATTTCATCAGATTTTTATTACGTTTCAAATGTACGAGTGGTCTCTACAGATTATGCAGTCCATGTATTTCTGATTCGACAACCCACTGAATACCTCTTTTTCTTGACAAACCCTTCAAAATTAATTGTTTTAACCTGCAAAGAATAGCTTGATAATTTCACAGTTGCATACGTAACTGAATGACTAAGTTCCTTGATGAATATCGTGATGTTTTATTGTAGAGGAGTTGTAATCTATCGAGTCAACGAAGTAGGAAGCATGGCATTCATTCAGTGATGTCGATATTTCATGAGATAGCACACACGAGGTTGAAAATCAGATGAAGTGAGGAATGTGAAATAATGTGTCCCGGTTTAACTAGATCAATAACATCGTGTTCGACGTTTGTTATTATGCCAGTATCTTTCATGTCCGACTTCAGTTTGTCGTATGTTAATTCATTTACTAAGAGATAAATTCAACTGCTATTAATCATGCTCACCTACACATACTAACAGAACACTTTAGTCGTACTTCCATATATAGAATACATAAAATTTGTATAAGTTATTTTGTTATTACTCAAAAAAAAGAGCACAACACATTGATCTCATTTACTTTTCTTTGTTTATAAAGAACTGTACATTTGTAAAACTTACTTTGTTCGTTGGATTACCTATCAAAAACATATTTATTGATTAATACATCACATTGAGTATTAACGTTATACGCTTAGTGTGAAATACTCTGGATTAATTATTTTCATATAGATTTTTTGCAGAGAAATTATTTGACGTTATTATTATAATCACAAGTGCGGAATTTCCTACCATTTGCTTCCAACCGCTAACTTTCATCAAAACGTGTAAACATTACTACATCTAGCCATAATTAGACTAGCAATCATTTCACAACTACACCGATAGAGTTCTATGAAAGCTAAGAAACTCGAGCAAGTGATTGATAATAGGTTAAATACCTTGGTGGTGGTGCTACTTATATTGACATAAGTAGTATATGATGTTAATCGTAAACAGGTCTGGAAGCAGAGAGACAAGAGAATCGAACGGCAAAAAATGGAAACAAAATGCAATTTGTATGAAAGTGCAAGAACAATGAAGTCTGAGCCATTTTGAGACGATCGATGGACATTTTGCAAACTAAGCATTTACTTTATGATTGTTAGATTTTATTAGCAAGTCCTGTAATTTTGTGTTGAATACATTCGGTTGTCCCTACCCGTGTTCTGTTCACTACAGTGGTACCTCTGGTCATAGCACACCAGTTTAAATGGGTTCGAATCTCACAGGAAGCATCAGTCTAATCTATGCTGAAGGTATATCTCACTTTGATGAATCCCAACTAGTAAGAAACTAAGGTCCGAAAATCTCTGCCGACTCGCCTCAGTCACAAACTTACATTATTATGACCTACTAAAGTGTAAAGACAATGATGATGGTTTAAAATACGTACATGAATAAGTATCGAAGAAAAAGGGATGTTACAAAACGAATCATCGTTACAGATATTTATCGTTTTAAAACTAACCACATGATAAAATCGTGAAATCCGACTTATGCCATTCTATGTTTGTGTTGAAGTCTATATATTTGGGAATAGTTTCTTGCTGTGGCTCAAAATACCTATTTTATCTTATTTACCAAGATTTATTAGTTTCTCGTACATACATCTCAATAAATATATCTTGAATTTCTTCATCCAAACATAACACTGATACATACACAACAATCATCCATTGTCACTAGATCATTAAAGTTATGTCCTATTAATAAGAGTTTGCCGTTGTTAGCATTCAGGATTATTCATTGCCTTGATACATTTCTAGTCGTACGTCAAACGAATCGAGGATGTGCGTTCCATCCTATATTATGACTCGCCAGCATCAGACACTAAGATCAGGTTACATTCAGATGATCACCTACGAATAGAACGTAACTTGCGTCCTTGATTCCACTAATGGCTGTATACTAAATATAAAATCACGTTCTGTCTAGAACTTCTTGTTGTTTCATCTTATTAGTATCGATTTCTCTTGTGTGTATAAACAGACACACGTATGCATTGATAATATTTTCCTTCTCATCGTATTTTACAATTCTCATTATTATATGAAATAAGTGATGTTACTATTTGATTAGTATAGTATGTACCACCAAAAGAACTTCGTATATCGAGACAGAATCGTCTCACTTTGATTGTGAAGTAAATCTCTACCGGCAATCGTTCTTCACATATGCCGTTTCGTATACATTCGAGTATGAAACATGTTATGGTTAACCATGGAGAGCCTAATAAGGGATATATGGTTTTAGTAATTCAGATTTTTGTTTACATCAATAATTCTTTGGCAGTTAATAGAAAACATTTTGTCTAATCAAATACTGAACGATCAGGTTAATTGATCAATAGTGCTGAATGAACTTTTACCCAGAATTCCTGTTTGTCATTTTAAGGCTAATATTTTGAGGGTAAAAATGCTTAAAGTATGTTTAACTTGATACTAGTGTTTAAAGGAGATAAAATTTTCTGTACAGTGGTAACATTTCTAATAATGATGTTTGTATCTAGCAGAAGACAAAAGCCTTGTCAAGATTTCAGGTACATTTAGAAGAGAGCCAACCTATATACGACCTAGGGGTCAAGGATTTCATGCCGAATTCCTAAAGCTTATAAACATGTAGTACACTAAGCCATTGTCCAAGTAAATTTAGTTAAATACTGAAATAAAATAGCAGAATTGACAGTTTGCTTACAAGACGGAACCTCGAACAACAACCATATAGATATCTGCAGAACGAACCATTATGGCTCACTCACTATGTGAATATATATACTAAGACATTACAGTTATTAGCTGTACACAAAACATCCCAATAAGGTAACATGACTATGAGTAAATTTTCAGTTAACAAACGGGTAATCAAGGGGAAAAACGGAAATTAAATGAAAAAGTCGCATGATTATTCAATTTTGTCCACCATAACACAACTTGTATAGCGAACTGTCAGAGTTATTAAATATAGTACTGTTAGCGGGACATAGACTAGATCAAAGCATGCTCAATGCATGATTGCTTTGGTGCACGCTGATTGGCTAATTCTTATCCAATCAGCACTAGCCGATAGTTGGAGAACACTCTGGAATCTTCTTATGTAAAAACTATAAATATACTGACGTTTTCCCTATTGTGCTTCTGGCTTGCATCTTACTTCCATCTAACCTTGTTATTTGGAATATAATCTCTTTCCTGTTCAACCGTGTTCTGATTTGGGGTCTTGTCGAGTGAATCGGTGTCCGAGAATACTAAGCAATAGGAATAGCTGGGTCTGACCGTAAGAAGAAAGAGATTATAACAAGTACAAATTACTTGAAAGGTTCTTTTAGCTTCAGTGAGTAACATCTGTAGCCGGATCAATTTTAAAAACTTTAAAAATTTTGGACTCTAACGATCATTTAAACAATGACTATTTGTTTAATACAACATAATAAAAGCAGCAATGAATTGATAAACTTGAAATATTCTAATACTTCTGACTTTAGACCCAAAATACAATTTCAAAAATTCAGAATCTGTACACAATTTTATTCACAAAACTATCCTATAAGTGATATATCGTCCGGCTGTTTCTGATGGCCGAGTAATTCGTACAACTTGACCTCTTCTTAGACCATAATATCGAGCAACAGGATCGCTAGCTTGCATTTTGGGAAGTTGATTTTCCTTTAACCTACTAAGTTCTCATTGAATTATAAAAAGTACTAAATTACTATCGTTCGAGCAATTCTTTCTTTTCTTCCTGTGTGAGAACGTTGTGTTGCGGAACCAACTGATGTTCCGTTATATTGACCATTAGTTCATTTTCAAAGAAACACTCCAAAGTGTATTTACACGAAAGTTCCGCAATAGCCTACACATGTACAAATAAACTTAGTAGAATAGAGAACAAACTGTTTTTGCAGAAGGTGTGAGACCCTTTTCTTGAAGGACCAAAATTGCTCTGTAAGTACTATCTTGTTGCATTTGATTCAAATATGCCCGGACAGTCTTCATGTTAACTTTTTCTTCTTCTGGAAAGAACACATATAACATATCAGCAGGATCTTCTTCATGGTTAACAACCATGAGAAGATCCTTTCTCGTTGGTGGATCTCCGACTGTTGCTTTGAAATCTTCGAGTGATTGCTCTAATTCTTTAGGCATTACTAGATAACCCCTATCTTTGCACATCTAAGTGAAGATTGATCAGAACGCCTGACCGGTAGAATTACCTTGAGAATGGTTTTACGAATCCTCCATAATTTGTAGGTTTCTGAGTCGTCCATCATGTCGATCTAAGTAAACCATAAAAACAATTCCGAAAAATGCAAATAACCATTTAAAACATCATTTTCAATCAAGATAGAGAACTTTCTGTTATTTATTATATGAAATGTGTGGAAATAAAACAATGAAAAGGCAAAAATCTAATGAAGAGAGATAAAGTCACTTAAATACTATTTGAGAATAATGGTTTCTACAATACTGGGATAAATTTGATCTCTGAACATTAGGTTTGACGTTAAATAACCATAGAACAAATTGACTAACTTTAGTTTTAATAAAGGTCCCAAAACGAAGGTACATCATGTTAATTCCATTAATTCGCTGAACTCATTGACTACATATCCACTTAAATAGCAATAAGTGAACAAAGAGCATTGAACTGATAGTTCTATCACCTTCCAAGAGAACCAGCCCCAGGAAGAGTTGTTTCAAACTGTACAGACTTTCAATTACTCAAGGATTACAGTGTTTTCTTCATTGTCAGTAAGTGAGTAATAGTCCATAACAAATGTGGCGACAGTGTGTACAATTACATTATTTGTGATTTCATGAAAAGTATTTGAGTTTTACCGGTAAGAGATGTAGCTGTTATCTATAGCCTAGCCTTTTTGACGTCAGTTACCGTTTTCTTCGTCGCTTAAATTGCAGCAACATATATATGACTGAAGCCGATCTGTGATTCAATTTATTATATTGTTGTTCTTAGACATTATAAAACATTGCTACTTTTACACACAGGCATGGATAAATGTGGCACCAATATAAATCGCTTCAAGTTACCACATTACTCCAAAACCAACAAGAAATTAGCAAAGGAGGAACAATGAGAAAGACAAGATCAAAATAACGGAAAAACGAGAATTCATCACAACTGAGTAAGATCAGAAATCATGAGTATGTAATCGAACTAAGTCCCACTGTGGACATATCTCGGTATTTCAGTTGACATCGAATTAACAAAAAAACATGGAAAAGGATGAAAGTTGGTCAATTATAGTGTCGTTTTGGAACATTTCGGCTAGCTACAAACATTAACAACTTTCTTATAAATGTTTTTTTTTACTTCATCTAGCTTGGTTTGTTCATTTAAGAATTTATTTGGACAAAAGACCACTAACTTGCACGATGAAAACACATCGCTCTCAAAGACAAATGGTAAGTGTATCACTACTGTTAACTTTTTGAAGAGATGCAGTGGGGCGCAAATCTAAGTACTTGTGTCATTTTGTTTATGTCGTGAAAATCCTGGCTGGATACGATCGCGTTGAATATTTGAAGTTCAGACTGCTAATTGCAAAGTAAGCCTACTATTTCTACAAATACGTTCAACCATGGTAGATTTATTATTGTCGCTTAGTACATCAATGAATGCATCTTAGCAGCAAGATTCTAGGTGGGCAAGTCAGGTATGAATTCGTCTTCGGTCTTATAGATTCTCAAAAGTGCACGTAACTTTAAACAAATATGAAACGACCGTATCCACGAATGTAAGACAAATGTCTAAAAAGAAAACTCCTGTATTTGATAATGGATCTGGATAGCTTGGTGGCAGAGTATCAAGTTTACAGTTTTACTAGTAAACTGAAGTATTAGACATATCTTCATCAGGATATAATGGGCAAATTTGTAAGCTAGATGATTTATTCAACAGTCGATTTACATCTTAGATGACAATGATAAGTAGGCTAATGGATAACAAGTCAAAAACATCTCTTATACATTTTATCTTACGTCATGAAGCCGGAGCTGGTCTTCAGGTCAGCACTGAGGCTGGCACGAAAAGGAGTCCTCGCAAGTTCCTATTTTGCGACAATAGGTGCAGTCACGTGCTAATTACCATTGTTGAGTAAGAGCGAAAAAGAACTTGCAAGCGTTAACGACATTGCAGCACACAGTTACTTTTACGACACGAGATAAAGTAAAACAGCAGTGACAATGTGAGCAATAACTTGCACTGACAACTGTTGAGGACTATTCTGAAAGCCTCCGTTTTGATCATGAACCTGTTATAGATATATTTACAAGACAATTAGAAGATTTGACAAGCTTCCAGATATGAGACGTCAACTTTTCAGACAATTCTGGTTATGTGAGGTCGAGTGAACAGCATTATCTAAATTTCAAAGGAGAAACGTCCTTAGAGCGAGTTCCTCTATATCCTTCATCGTGAACTGTAATATTTATTTTGATGGTCGTATCTACGCAGCCATCACTGTACATCCCAAAGTTTGAGGTAATCAAGTATAAAACCGAAAGTTAATATCCAGTGAACATGACAGGATTGAAGCTAATAATGAAACCATAGAAAACACGGTGTTGTTATTATACGGTTTTAGTTTAGTTGATAAACAGTGTCAGACATCACAGAAATATATAACGAAGAAATGCGAAACATGACAATCACAATTACCACAAAAACCGCGATTTGCAACAAGGTCAACAGGTCCGTTAAATGGTTTCATTGAGTTAAGGGCAGTCTCCAGTGCTAAGAATAAAAAGCCAATTGACATATATTATTCCTTGAAGCTTTAAGTGTCGTGAAGATTCAATCTTGCTTTGAATTTATCAGCAGAATGTGCTGATATTACATGTTTTCTGAGAGAATCCCCGAAATGATACTCCAGACGTAAACGATTGTATCTCGGTTTCTGAAATCTCTTAGGACGTCCGTTAGGTGACCAGCGCCAGATGGAAGAAAAAGATGGGACATTCATACGAAGATCATCATTCCGTATACGGTAAGCCAGCAATAAATCAACTCGTAACATGTGATAAGTTGTCGGAAATAGGTTGAGACGTCTCAATTTTCCTTTTTTTAGAGAAGGCACTGAAAGACTACACACCATTTTGACCCCTCGCCATTGAAGCAGTCACAGCATATCCGCTTCATATCTGGAACAGGGAATCGCTACATGAATGCGACCTCAAAAAATTAAGATATAATACCCTAGATATTTATTCGTTCAAGAAATCAAATGGCTTAAGGATAAACCATAAGACCTGGAGCCTTTAGCAGTCTTAACTCAGCAGTTACATGTGATCCTGGGGTCGTTACTTATCATGGCTCCTAGATCTTAATAATCCATTAATTTAGATTATACGATTTTACTTATTGTGTAGCTAAATGAATAGTCGCAGTTATTTAATTGCGTCACTAAACATGCTATAATTAACTTCTGCTGACCAGCTATACGTCCATTCAACCAGTGGGCTTTGGTTATCTAGTAAGATTATCCTATTAGTCTTACAATGCATGGGTCTCCGAATCTTAATGTCATCTAAAAGGTGAGAACAGATGACTTAGTAACAAATGGTCAGTCATTTACATAAAGTAAAAATGAAGAGGTTTGAGGTTTACACCCTGAAGGTTTTCATGTTGATAAAGCACTCTTTACCCATACCCTCTGTCTCTTATCACTGAGAAGGTCTCTCACTATCATCGATAACCAACACTACTAAAATGTCCCAATGGAAGCAGGTTTTAGCACATTATTTCTTGACATTATCAACGAATATCCTTTTACCAAAAGTGGTAGGATCCATAACTTCTGTGAGCTCACCCCTTGACATACGAGAACAACGTTTTAGGACTATTTTCACAATCACTAACCAGTTGTTTTTCGTCTGGAATTCTAACCTTAGGTAAAGACGTTTTGGATGCTTCCCTAATCTTATAATGATTGGATTTTAGGGCTTCACGAGAATGTAGAGTGGGGTAAATTTCATAACATGCAAACATAGTGTATCCCACAGTACATTTTTCTGTTCGATTAGTGGCAAGATGAATCACTTCACAGAATTACTTTTAATACGGTTTATAGTTTATCTCACAAAGTTGCATTATTTTATACCTTTTTATATTGTTCTGCTGTGCAACATGACAATTTGGGAGCTAACTTATGCTATGTTGGATCAGTTAGCGGTAGATTGAAGTTCGCCACAGTGATTTGTATTCTACTTTCCTGTTCTTAAGGTTGTTTAACAGTTTTGAAGATGTATTTTGCCACTTTAATTCAGTGGTGCATTTGTATTAAATCAAACCACTCACCATTATAGTTAATCTTTAGTCAATTATATAAAGTTTAACCATAGCTTGGATTAGTGGGTAAATGATAAGGCTAGATGCGTGTTATTAAGGATGTAGTGACGCCAAGTTCTGAGGTGCGTTATCGTTCTTCGATGGCTCGTAAGATGATTCACTGTATCACGTTTTTGCACTGTACATGAATATACTAATATTCAATCTAAATTTTATGGATCTACTTGGAGAGATCACGATAAAATTCCACTACTTGTGATTGTATGTGTGTACTCATCAGCAAAAAAGGCTGGTTACACGGTTAGCTTTTCGCAAATAAGCAGGAGCTACCTGGAGTAGAAACAAAAACTTCTGTCACATGTTATCTAGTGTTTGTGGTTACTGAGAAGATTGGGAAGTGGACCTTTTTTCCTGTACTAAAGGCATAAAGGTGTCACAGAAATTTGGTGCCTGTCCACAAAATCTTTATAATGGAAAATCCAGAAGCCAGTCAAATTTGAATGAGGAATGAAAAGCTTCGAAGACGTCTGAATGATGGTCAATGTGCCTACAAGTACATAATTTAAACCGATTAGTTGTCGTGAGAATTGGGTAGTACGACATACGAACTAGTAGTCTGGAGTGGATGCTTGACCGACAGCCTTCAGCTGAATTGTGTCCATTGAAACTAATAAGGTCAGCGTCGATCTCGAAAACTTATCGAACTATTCACTATGGAGATGCATTTACCACTCAGGCCTATTCCCTCATAGTGCGATGGCGATAACGCAGCGTCTGGTTATCTTTTCCTACCATACGAATTGAAGTACATAATAACAGAACAAATGTACAATCAAAGTTTAGATCATAATAATCATCTGTTTTTAGTCTTTTCCGGTCGTTCTGGAGGAGAAAGTAATAAAACTGTAAGTAAATGTCAAAATACACTTGTTCTTAGGCACACAAGTGGATCGCGCAAAAAGGTCGACTTGTATGCATAGATAAAGTTACATATCAAGCAACATCGAAGAAAGACAAGAAGCTAAAAATTCTGACAGAGGTCGTCCTTTTGGGCCGCTTGTATGCACCTGCGGAGTCTCATTGCGGTTATTAACTATCGGAAATCGCACGGTGACTCCCAAGAAACATCAGTTAAAGGGCGTTAGCCTACTGTGATAAACTTGTAGCCGAGAGTAAGGGATTCGACTGTCAGTAAAGTAGTTTTGCTAAACCATCGGTTTACGAGTAGAAGACGGTTGTGTGATGGCTGCAAATTTCAGATTTTAATAGAGGTCTATGGTCTGAGCCAATTAATTAGGTTTTTATACCAGTTTCAAACTGCTTGATCCGTAGTTTCATGATTATCGAGTATAACTTATACTGAAGATCGGTGCCTTCTTTTTGAAGTCGGGAGAGCTTAAAAAGGTGTATACCTTGGAAATTTTTCAAAGGATTTGTATGAAACAGAGTGTTTGCAACTACAGTGTCACCGCCATGAATATGTATATCTCGAGTAAAAAGCGAGATGCTGTACAGGAATCGGGACTCTCGAGAGGAGTACGTATCCGAAGTCGAGAAGAAAGGTTAGAGGTTTTGTGTTTGTGGGCCGTGAATTATCGACCTAATACTGGGCCTTGAAGGTGCCGCACGGCACAACGCGTAGCCAGGAGTTCCATACCGAAATTGTGATACCTCAATTCAATGTACCGTCACTATTTCAAAAAATGCCAACGTTTGCCAAGTCTCGTCTCCTCTTCGTTGTAAGACTTTCAGAGTACTGCGTTGGATGCGTCTATGGCGATACTAATAGGCACTGTGGTGTCTAGGTATCCTAGCATAGTTGGCTTCGTAAGATTGCCTTTCACTATGAAAAATGCTACCTTTGCTTTGTCGTCCTGGTAGGGGATTTTTTCATTTTCAAGCAGTTTGGGTGTTAATAATTTCATGACGGACGCGTGATTTGACCTGAATCGTCGGTAAAACGTACCAGTTGCATGAATGTGGTGGGTCCTTGGTATCGCAGAATGACCACCGCTTTACTTCTTAGAGGGGCAATGCCTCGATCGTCGATGGTATGACAGACAACGTTGAGGAACTCTGCCTCACTATGATATTTTCGAATGTTTACTGAGGTGATATGTTTCGTAATCCTTGGAGAGAACGGTTTTCATGCTTTCTTGATAACGTACATGTACGTCCTTATATAGCCATAAATAAACATTGTGATGCCACCCAGTTTTCTGGAGGTTCAGATGGTATTGATCGAGTAAGAAATCAGAAAAGAGACCCAGATACTTGTTTTTGTACTAAAAATGAATAAAAGATGCTTTATGGTTGCGTGAAAATAATGAACAGTAGTGGTCAATAACTTCCAAAAATTGACCCTCGGACCAACTATGACATTTTTATATACATTTGCAATGTCCTGAGTGTCGATTATGTTAATAAAGATTAAAATCGCGAATAAATTAAATTATCCACAAGAGGGACTAAATTATTCTCATGGTATTTTTTGTTGAGACATAACTGAGTTGCGATTGATAAAACCATATACTTGGAATGATAACTCTACTATAGTGACGGCGATAAAAAGCACCTTTAGTTGTAGTTTCCCACGGAAGACAACTTTGTATCACTTTGCATGTTATTTCCTATGAATTACTGCGTAATATGGATTATTTTGTAAAATGGTCAGTGACTCGTTTGTATGCACTGAAAGTGTTAAGTTTAGTCTATGAATCTAGTTTACACAGAGAAATTGTAGCATCACGCTACAACAAGACGATAGACAATTTTCCAACCGTGAATCTCCAATAGGATGTGGTGAAATGATGTGATCCGAATAATAAGAATAATCCATATGAACGTGAAGATGCCACAGGTATTTGGAGTTTGACAACGCTTTAACCAGTAACACCTAATATCAATCGTACCCACCAAGTGAAATCAGAAGACAGAAGGGAGGAGGCTCAAAGATATATTTGATAGGCTATCAGTATATCGTGGATCATCTGATCTAATCTAGCTAGCGATTGCAGGGGATGTTGAACACGGCGTTCCCACTCGTGATCTGGTGTGGATGCATGACCGAGCGCCTTCAGCTACGTAAGTCCATTAAAACTAATGTGGTTAGCATCCAATGTCGAAAACTTACAGAGCTATTTATTTTGGGGATTTATTTATCTCTACAATGGGAGGAACGTCATGTACCAAGCTGTTGGTTATTTGTGGATTTAGAGTTATCATGGACTCGTTTTCTGTTGACTTGGTAGGTTGAACGGAACCTGATTCGTGCACACACGTAAACTTTATAAAAAGAGCTGGAATATTCCAGGACATTCTTGTATGATGGGGTGATTTTAAGAGTACTGCTGTATTTCCTACAGTTCCATGAAAACCCAGCATTAATCTA